CCCCCCCTTTTTTTCCTTCAGACTGGCCTTAATTGTTTGTAGTACAGATTCAACAAGGTGCTGGTAAAATTCCTCAGAGATTTGTTTCACTATATTGACCTGATAGCATCACACAGGTGCTGTATTCAAATCCATGCAGATCCATGATACAAATATCCCATTCCAACCCATCCCAAAGGTGCTCTATTGGATCAAGACTTGGTGGATGCTATTTGAATACAGTGAACTGACTGTCATGTTCAAAATATCAGTTTGAGATCATTTAAGATTTTGCATCACCTTCTCCTGCTAGAAACATCCACACCGAGAACTGTTACCCAATGCATAGTTTCTTTTTTGGGACCATTCTCTGTGAACCGTGAAGATGGTTTTGTGGGAAAATTGATGTATATCGGAACAAACATGTCTCGTTCAGTGCCATTTAAGTTAGCTTTGTCCCCATTCTGAAACTTGGTTTGAACTTCGTTTGGCTGTTTTGACCACATCTAAATGCCTAGTGTTGAGTAGTTGCCATATGTTTGGCTGATCGTAGTGTTCAACACTCAACCTAATGAAGTGGCCAGTTGTGTATGAAACTCTTCAACATTTTAATAATCCCTGCAACAGTATTTTAGACTTTTTTTTCCAGACATGTGACATTAATGATAAATCTCTTTGAATTTCACACTTTTTGTCAGACAAAACTATAAATTTGACCAAATTTACGTAACTTTACAAAAGTTACCAACTCAACTATATTTAGTCTGTCCAAGGCCAGCCTGTAAGTGTGTTATTAGATAATAACTTAAATTTTAATTTATGGTAACTCACACTCCATGTCTCTGAAGATCTGGCTGCTCAGCTCCCAGCCTGACTGTTTCCTTGTGCTCATTGCTCCAAATTTTCCTGTCTTTTCTTTGAATGACAAACTCGTGAAATTATCTTGCAGTGTGTAGTATTTTTTTCCCCACTAACTTGCCCATTGTGATGACAGTGTTTCTTTCTACAACAGAGAACTGAAGCACACAAAGATTCAGATCGCTCATCATCTGGACGGTCTTATCATGGTTGGACAGGATTTCTCTGTGGTCCACACCTTCTTAAATATCCTCTCTATCCCTCCTTTAAAACGGCATGTCTCTATCCCAAAAGGTTGATTCTGTTCATCTGGATGAACAGAATCAACCTTTTGGGATTTACTTAGCTGGATGATTGAGCACGCACCAAGACGTCATGGCTCCATTTAAAACAAACCTTTAACGTGGTATTTGATTTGACCAGCAGGGGGAGCCAAAGTCCTATTGATCACGACAACTATTAGGAACTATCTGAATATTATTCCACCACCAATTTTCTTTATTCAAACCTGTGACTCAATAGGTTAACTTTAATATGAATACACACAAATAATATCAGAAATCAAATAGAAGTTAGTACAAGAGACAAAATGAGGCCAGAGTTTATATTTAATTTAGTGTATAGTATGTCAGAGTGATATTCGGGATCCATCTGATCTACTAAGCTGATGTCATAAAGAGAGTTCCCAACACAGCAAAAGAAAAAAAAATCTAATTTAGTGGAAATATACATATAATCTATTCCAGTGCCTCCAGTCAAGTGCTGCTTGAAGCTGTTAATATCATCTTTGAAGACCTGCTCTTTATAGTATACAGTGGGAAAGGGGACCACAGGGGACTGTCCTCTCCCCCTTCCTCTTCACCCTCTAGACTTCAGCCACTGCACAGAGACCTGCCATCTTCAGAAGTTTTCTGATGGCTCCGTGGTGGTTGGATGCATCAGCAGGGATGATGAGATAGAGTACCGGGCTGTGGTCGACTCCTTTGTCACGTGGTGTGAGCAGAATCATCTGCAGCTCAATGTGGCAAAGACCAAGGAAATGATAGTGGACTTCAGGAAGACCAGGAAACACTTGACCCGTGTTTCAATCCAGGGGGTCAGTGTTGACATTGTGGAGGACTATAAATACCTTGGAGTTCATATTGACAATAAACTGGACTGGGCTACAAACACCACAGCACTTTACAGAAAGGGCCAGAGTCGTCTCTATTTTTTGAGGCGACTGAGGTCCTTCAACATATGCCAGAAAATGCTGAGGATTTTCTATGAGTCTGTTGTGGCCAGTGCGATCCTCTATGCTGTTGCATGCTGGGGGAGCAGGCTGAGGGTCACAGATGCCAACAGCAGTCACAAGTAACGGCGTTACTAATGGCGTTACTTTTTTCAGTAACGAGTAATCTAACTAATTACTATTCCTATCGTTACAACGCTGTTACAGTTACTAACAAGAAAACACGGTCCGTTACTATTTTTCAACAAACAGACGGTTGAAGCTGTGTTCAGCTTACCGCATCTTATTTCAGTTGCATGGAAGTAGCTGTAAGTAATCTGGACACTACAGCTTTAAGCAGCTGCGCGCTCCCGCGGACGGTAATCACGATCACTGTCTAGCACAACACCTGGAGCTAAGGGGGCAAAACAATCGCATGAGTGCCTCGGTGAGTATGTGTCGTCCTCCGCTCCCCTCTTGTGTGGTGTCCCACAGGGCTCAGTTCTAGGTCCCCTCCTCTTCTCTTTATATCTGCTTCCTTGGTTCTGTACTGAGAAAGCATGGTATTCCTTTCCACTTTTATGCTGATGACTGTCAGATCTATGTCCCTCTAAAGAAAAAAGGCAGATACGTTATACAGCCATTTCTTCAGTGTCTTGATGACATTAAGGCTTGGATGTCTGTTAACTTTTTAAAATTCAATGATAAAAAGACAGAGGTGATGGTTTTTGGTAGCCCCACTGAGACCCCCAATGTGTATGTAGATTCCCTGGCCCAGTATGTTAAGCCAACTGTCACAAACCTGGGGGTCAAAGTTTGGCACTCCAAAGTTTGAGCACATTCCCCTGTTTTAGCTTCACTTCACTGGCTGCCCATTTCTTTTAGGATTCATTTTAAAATTCTTTTATTTACTTTTAAAGCTCTCCATGGCCTAGCCCCATCTTATCTCTCTGAGCTGCTACAGCCTTATACACCCACCCGCTCTCTCAGGTCAGCTGATCAGCTGCTCCTGAAGATACCCAGGACTGGGCGTAAACTTAGAGGAGATCGTGCTTTTGCTGTAGCAGCTCCAAAACTGTGGAACGAGCTTCCTTTAGAGATTAGACAGGCCAGTTCTTTATCTGTTTTTAAGTCACTCTTGAAAACGCACCTCTTTACCCTGGCCTTTGACACCACGTGAGATGTTGGGTTTTTATTTTTATTTTAGTTGTTTTTAGGTGATTCGATGCTGTTTTATCTTGTTTTTGTTTTAATATAGGGCTGTTTTAATTTTATGTTTTATGTGTTTTATTTATTTATTTTGCTGTTTTCTGTTATTCTATTGTTTTAACTTATTTTCTGTACAGCACTTTGTTCCTGTGCTGGGTATTTTAAAGTGCTTTATAAATAAAATCGGATTGGAATTGGATTGGATGAGTGCTGCTGTTTGACTGAGGAAGAATAAAGTAGTCGTGGTAAGCCAATCACATGACCACTTAAACACAAAGCAACAAGGAGACATATACCATCATCAATGGTTTCCAAACGGTGAAGGAGCTGTTTTGCAACCTCTCTTTTAGCTCCACCTACTGGTGAAATTGGCTTCTGGCAATGTTAAAACTGATGGATGGATTTAGATAATATTTATTATGTTTTCTGGTATTCTTGTGTTCACAATTTCATTAGTATATCTCAGTGTGTTTCAGGTTATATTTAGCTTAAAATAGGTCATAATGTAGCTTCATGCAGCTGCTGGAAGCTGGTGATAAAAAGTTGTATGCATTATATCATCATATACGTTACATGTTTTAAATATATCTTTGTATTTATTCTCCCATTTATTCTCCAAAGCTCTGTGAATTACCTTCTGTCTGAACAGTGCTACATAAAAGTTGACATGACTTCAGATGATGATTCTTTGGCTCTAATGACTCTGTTTTGAATATTAGGGTTTGATTTTTATTTACACATTGTTTCTTGAATTCCTTTCCTTCTTCCAGTTCTTCCCTCAGTGTCTCTCCTCCAGAAGACTCCCTCCTCTCCAGTCAGCTGCCACACGACAGGTTTCTATCCTAACAGACCCTTGATGTTCTGGAGGAAAGATGGAGAGGAGCTCCATGGAGGTGTGAATCCTGGAGAGATCCTCCCAAACAATGATGAGACCTTTCAGATGAGTGTTGATCTGAATGTTTCATCAGTCAAAACTGAAGACTGGGGAAGGTACGATTGTGTGTTTCATCTCTTTGGTGGTGAGGACATCATTGTCACCAAACTGAATAAAACTGTGATCAGAACAAACTGGGGCAAAAAAATATTTAACACTGATGAAGGTGAGAGAAAAATTTTTTTTGCCCATTTTGTGGATTGTCTGTAATGTTTTTTATTTTTTTGCCCTGTTATTTTTTCTCTCCGTGTGTGCTTCCGGATGTTTCGGGTCACCTGAGGGATCGCGACCCCGGAAGTGTTTCTGTGCTAGAGGTAGCCTGACACTCATCATCCACAGCCAGCTGCAGCAGATTACGCTCGTCAAGGGAGCTGTATTTAAGACTGTGGCTGAGCTAGGGTCGATGCTGGATCGTACACGTGACTCCCTGTCAGTTTTCTAGTAAGCCTGTAAGTGCTAGTCAGCTGTGATTGTGGAGTTTTCTAAAAGCTGCCTTTGTGTGTTTTTCCCCAGGAGGATTTGTGGGAATGAGGAAGCAGCAGGTGGCTGGTTCACAGGTAACGGAGCACAGGCACGAAGAGGAAACATGGAACGGGAGTCGGGAACATACAGGGATTTATTGGCTGTCGATCTTTGCTGCACTGTAAATAAACGCACTGTTCACCGCACAGAGTCTAGCATTTGGGTCCTCTTTTCCCCACATCCCCACGGTCTGCCACGCAGACTGTCAAGAGATGTATTCTAAGACACTTCTTCAGCTGAGAATCAGAGAGGAGAAACACAGTTTTTACTTGCAGCAAGGGCAGCCACAGAGCGCCCGCACGGGAGTGAGAGCTCAGGGACTTGCGCTCTGCCACTGCCCTGGTCTTTATTTATAGACATCAGTGGGTGTTTGTTCCTTACATTGGAATGTGGATGTTCATATGTGTGTGTGCGTGTGTGTGTGTGGTCAGAGTGTGACCCCATAAAGACTTACCTAAACCTGCTGGTCTGGAAGTTCATCTAAACAAAAGGCACTTAGACTAAGACAGACATAGCTACGTTTATCCTGCCATAAAACAATAAGAGAAGGTACGACCTCTCCCATGCTCCCAGGATGTGGGTGTGAATGCCAGAACACTCTGGAATGCACACAAAGTCTTATAGTGAACAACAGCCTAAGTCATCAAAAGGTCAACATGCAGTATTCTACCATATGCAAACTTATATTATTAAAAGATTATACTGACTACTAAGTACAATTTTCTATTGACACAGACCATGACAGTTTCAGAAGTAAATTACTGAACATTAAGCAGAGCCAAAGAAATAACTCAAGTAATAACTAAACTAATAGATAATGTATACTCCACTAATGAGAGAAAAGAAGAGAAAAACACATTTTGGTGGGCCTCATAAAAGACAATAAAGCTGTTTTTTTTAATTAATTGATCAACTTTTCAGATTTACATTATTTGATCATCATTATAGTCTTTAATAGTAAAACACTGACAGTGTATTGCATTGCAGAAGTATGTTGTTCCACGGCTGGTTTGCTTGATGTCACCCTTTATGTTTCAAGTACTCTGAGTTGAGGGTAGAGTAGGAACATATACTGAATTTCTTCATTTTCATGCTCAGCTGTCTAGTAGTGTGCATGGCTGCTGATGCCCCACCAATCTGTCAATCTCCCACTCTCCCACTCTTCCCTCAGTAATGAACAAGATTCTGAAGTAATTACGCCCCTGTCCTATGACTGTCATTCATTCCTAACCTGGAGTAGGCTCCACCCTTCTCGGACTGAGGACTATGGCCTTGGACTTTGACACATGTCAAACTCAGCCACCAGGAACCCCAGTGCAAGTCAAGGGTTGTCTCTAGCTGGTTCCAGAACCCAAGTATCCCTCAGCCTCAAGTAATAGCTCAGGCTTCTTCCCCAACAGAGAGGTGACGTTTTGTACCCAAAGCCAGTTTTGGCAACCAAAGACTGGAATGCCAAGGCCTCTGCCTTCAAACCCCACTAGAAGCTAATGGTGCCGCTCCTTCTCTGTCAGACTGCATCTGCAGGTAAGCTCATGATGCACAATTAAATAAGTTGCAGTAATTAAATATTATAATTTAATATTTAAATGACAAAACAGATCTAAAGACAGATAACAGACATGTCAGCCGAAATACCGTAACTAAGTGAATACGTAAGTTAATCCAGATCACAGATGGGTATGTTGATCGTGCTTTATAGTACCCGAACAATATATTATAAGATATTGACTGAGATTATTTGTTTACAATGATGTATTATCTGGGCAGACACTGGACGTCATACACTCCTGACTCAAGCCAACATGAAGTAATTTAGAACAGTGTTTTTGGAGAATTGACCAATCTTTTTTCTTCTTCTCTTTTTTCCAGTGATTAAAGCCTCTGACTCAAAACTTTAAAAATTGAAAAAAAAATTGAAAAAGTTTGTGAGACAGCCAACATTTGGTTCATTAAGACAACAAAAGTATTTTCGAGGCAGTTTGGATCACATGCTGTAATCACAACCCATCAAAATCCCGGGTCCAAGTTCAAAGTCTGTGACATCTTTGCTTTTAATGTGTTTAACTGCAGGTGTGTATAGCTTTCCATGTGGCGCTGTGTGGGCTGGGTTTCCAATTTCAATTCAGTGACTCATACGATTCATAGACGTCAACGGGAGCTGTAAGATCGAAAACACATAGTTATTCCACTGGTCCTATTTTGGATTTATACATATATAATAAGACTCTCTTGTACAATATTATACCACAACCTTTTTTAAATCCACAGATCAAAGTAAAATAATAACAGTTTACTTACGAGGTGCAATTTCTGTTGCCAAAATAAAAAGGAAACAAATAATTGCAGACATGTTCAGTTTGATTAAAGAAACAGTTCAGCCCGTTTTAAGCTCTCACCTTTTTTCCTTTTGTAAACAACAAATCCAGCAGCAGCAATAGCGATGAGAACAGGAACAACAACAATGATGGAGATTAATTCTGATCAGAAAAACAACAAGATGAAATACACACATGAACTCATTACTATGATATTCATTCATCATGAAATATTAAAATCACATATTGATAAGGGGGAAAAAATAAAGTATCATCTCTGTATGAAGCTATACCGATGTAAAATAATTATGATGATTATGTGGGGAAAAAAATAACATCCTACAATCTTACAGGACCAGAGTGGTCCTGAAATATTGTATTGTCAGCTAAAGAAGTTCATTGTAGGAGGCATTTATGTAAGATTTGTATGCATGCCTTTTTCTCACCCCAAAACACCCCTAAATTCATTTAGTAACAGCGCTGCAATTGTGAGGCTAAACATAAATAAACATGATTTTTTTTATTGATTAAAAACATTAAATTCCAGGATCACTGTCATGGTTGCATAGTGTAAACAGTGAATGTGAAATTTAAATAGGATTAATTTTAAGGGCAATGGAAAAAATGGTCTTTGGGATCTCCCCGAGTTTAAACACAAAAAGTGGACAAATGCCACATATATTAAAATCAAATAAAATGAATTAAATGTGTTTCTCTCACTTGTTCTGTTGTTTTCATCCCAATTTGTTCTGATTGCTGTTTTATCCAGTTTGGTTACAATGTTGTCCTCAACACCAGAGAGATGAAACACACAGTCGTATCTTTTCCAGTCTTCTGGTCTTACTGATGAAACATTCAGATTAACAGTTATCTGAAAGGTCTCATCATTGTTGGGGAGGATTTCTCTGTGGTCCACACCTTCATGAATCTCCTCTCCATCTTTCCTCCAGAACATCATGACTCTGTCAGGATAGAAACCTGTCGTGTGGCAGCTGACTGGAGAGGAGGGAGTCTTCTGGAGGAGAGACACCGAAGGAAGAACTGCAGAGAGGGAAGGTGGAAAAGAGATGCAAAGAGGTAAACAAGCGTGAATGAATGGAAGAAGTAGAGATTCAAATCCATATGATCAATGTAGAAATACAAAGATGTATTAGCTTAGCTTCTTTTAGAGTTGCCTCCAAAATACTGTTCATACACTATACCTTCAAAGTAGTTCAGGTCAATTTTGACCTGGCTGAAAATTCCCTCATATCCCTCACACATTTTGGACAACAAATCTATTATAAATCTATACATAGCCTAACATTAATACATGGCGGATCAAGCCTTAGTGCAAATTAATTTCAGCTGGTTTAGTCCCAACTGATCACCTTTAAAAAGTGTCTCATCACCAAGGTGTCCCATAAGAAACATCTCACGAAGGGTAGACTCAACGAGCTCTCAAGACCTTTGCAACCTTATTTTTGCAAATATGCTGATGGCATTGATTACAGAAGAATTTCTAAACCACTGAAGGTTCCAGTGAGCAATGATCAGAAGAGTCGTAAAAGGTCTTTCAGTAGTTATGGCGAACTACAGAAAGACCTGGAATCAAAAGGTACAACTGTTTAAAAGACAACTAGAAGTAAGGCACTCAGCTGCCATGGCCTGTATGCACGCTCACAACTCCAACATGCTTTTTCTTCATTAGTGAAGTCTGTTGAAAGTTTTCTAAACAACATTTAGGCAAGCCTTAGAATTACTGGGGGAATATATAGATCAATGAATAGCAATACACACCATACACACAGTGTTTGGAGTTGAAAGGCACAGCACATCACCCAAAAACACCATCTCAACAGTGAAGTTGGTGAAAAATCTGCTGCCATCTACCAGGATGTTGAAGATGAAAATGGGTGGATGTTTCAGTGAGACAATGATACCAAACACACAGCCAAAGAACCTCTCAGCTGTTTTCAGAGAAAGGAAATAGAGCTGCTAGAATGGCCTAGCCAATCACATGACCTGAATCCACTTAAAAATCTAAGAAAGAGCTGAAGGTCAGACTTCATATCAGAGGCCCACAGAACGTTCAGGATTTGAAGACTGTGTGGAAGAATGAGGCAAACAGAGCAATGCAAATTTCAGGCCAAAAAAAGAACAAAACAAAGAAACAAAATAACATTTAAAGAGTTAAATACAAAATTAAGCCTAAACATTTTACCATTTTCTTTTGATATCATCAGAACAATACAGTATAAACTGTATACCGTATCTGTGAAACTGCATCAGGTCATGTGATTCCTGTTACCTGTTCTCTGCAGGAAGCTGCTCCCATAGCTCCAATACCTCTTCAGCCACTCTCGACAAACCTTAGTGAGAAGGCTTTCAATGTCTTTGAGTACAATTGTGTCAGTATCCCATTCCTTTTTGATAATGGCAGCTTCTGGTTTCAGTGGGATCCATGTCAGTGTCTTAAGATCCAGTTCAAGAAAGCCTTCTCCATTATACCCATACTGTACCATACCAACCACTTCATCAGTGTTTTCATTCCATTCACATCCACCTGTTCTCTGTAATATGTGAACACCTGGAAAGATAAAGAAAAAACAACAACAACAACAACAAAACACAGGGTAAGCAAGAAACTATGATAATATTCTACATTGTATGGGCAACTTCTATTATCTGAAATTAGCACTTTACACATGATTCAAGTCAGATCATCTGCTGACTTTTTATTATTAAAGTTTGTATGATAAATCAAGATTACAAAAAAAAGATGAGGGAGTAAACTGATTAATCCCAAGAATCATCTGACAGAGTTATAGGCTATAAACCATGATAGTTTTCAAGATATCTTTTTCAAATTTTGCGTGTGTGGCAGAGGTGTGGTCCCTGGCTCAGCCGCACGGGAGGGGCCGTGCACTGAGCTCAAGGGGCGGTACCAGGGAGGTAGGAGGGAAAAGTTGAGATGATTGGTCTAATGAGGTTATGAGGGGTTTTTTTAATTTGTATGGTGAAGTTGGAGACCAGAAGGGAGAAGAGTGTGGGCACCCAGCTGGAAAGCTGGCTGACGTAGGTGCCGAAACAAGTAAAGACACATGAGTGTAAAAGTCAATAAAAACTCCAAAACCAGGCACAAGAACAGTGTGTCGGGTCGCAGTCATTTACTGCATGATCGTAGATACAAGCAAAATTTAATTTTGGTGAAAATCAGTCAAAGTCAATGTCAAACCAAATGTGAAAATCAGTGAAAACTTTTTTTTTTAATGGATTGTCTTCAAACTGCACAACAATATATTGAGGCCTTGGGGACACGAGTACTTATGTTGGCTAAGCATTTGAACTCGACCTTCATGGTTAGTGCCCAAGGTCAGACTTGAGCTTTGAAAAATATTCAAGAAACCATATTGAGTAATATATCAAATGAAAGGTTATGGACTTTATTTTTTCAATGTCCTATGACTCATATGGGTGGATTTGATCACTAGACGAACAGCAGCCTCTACAACTCTAGCTGACATCCAGCATGGTCCTTGCCCCACCTTTTTTTGCCCCCAGTTTTGCTCCAGCTTGTCATTGGAATTGAGCGTGAGTGCGTAGCCAGATTAGAAGCTATCAATTTAGTCTGATAACTGTGTGTAAATGACTCAGGACAGACCCGACACGCACATGCTTTTCAGCATCTTGCTTTTATTATCACTCACGGTTGCTTGTTTACACATTGGATGTAGGTTTTCAGCCCACAGCCACACACTCCAACAACAACCCACACTTTAAGCCGGCGACGAGTGATTGCAGATGTCATGCAAGTGCGCCTGCCTACCCTGCACCGGCGCCGCAGACCACACCCCGCCACACTCTGCTTACATACACTGTAAATATTGAGCACTTTATGGCAAGTTAGAGTGGGAAGACTTTTGTGTTTAAAATTATTTTCCCCTTCTATATTGATCAGGAGTATAGGATTGAGAATTGTCCTTTGTTTGGCCTTTATTAAGAACTTATGTTTGTTTTATTGGGGACAACTCACCTCAAAAGCAAATGAACTGCTCCTCATTATCTGAAATTATCCTGTCCTGTTGGCGCTTTCTTGGGAATAGGAAGAGTGGGGAGTTGCAAGTTACCCCTAGGCTGGGGGCATAAGTCTAACAATTTTTTAAAAAATATACATCTACATTATGCCAATCAGACAGAGCATTATGGCCACATGTTGAATATTGTGTTGGACCCTCCGTTTGCTGCCAAAACAGCAGCTGAACCATCGAGGTATGGATGCCACTAGAGCCCCGATGGTTTGCTGGTATATAACACTACACTATCCTGGTGCCAGGTGTTCCTTTTCTGTGTGGAGTTTGCAGATTCTTCCTGTGCTTACATGCTTATGTGTTTCTCCAGCTAGTCTGGCTTCTTGCCACACTCCAAAATGTATATGTGAGTTAGCTTAACTGGCGATTCTAAATTGGTTACTGGTGTGAATAGTTGTCTGTCTCTCTATTGGCCCTGTGACACCCTGTTGACTTGTCCAATGTGTACCCCGCCTCTTACCCTAAAACAGCTGGGATTAGCTCCTGACCATGAACTGGATAGGTGGAAGATAGATAAAATAACAATTTCACATTAATCATTTTTCCTTAAGTATATTCCTTGATTTATATTTCACTTGCTGGGCCCACGTCCTCATTTTAGGTTTTACAGCATTTTAGTAGGTAAAAGTGAATGCTTTGACATGAATTAAGCTGCAGTTTGGGAAAGGCCACGAAGGGGACTAGCGATGGCTCCCGGGCCTTGGCAGATCCCCATGTACTAAATAGAAGTGAAGAAGTTGAAGAATGGAGAACAAGGATGGAGGGAGGGTGGGGCACGTAAATGAGAATGATCAGTTTGCAGAACTGGGGGAACCTATATAGAGGACAGCCGGAAGGAGTGTGTTTGGAGGCGTGGTCCCGCTCCTGAAATTCCGATACATAATCTCCAATAATCTGGTTTAACACAAAATACTGCACCTTCTATTTGATGTAACAGCTGCTTTACAGTAGAAATCAAGAATCTGAAGATCTTTGGCTGATCTTCAAAACACTGTTGGGTGTACAATGCCAAGTGCTGAGTGTCATTGCTGAATATTTTTTTCATCCAGTCCTGTCTTGGTTCTAATTTCTTGTTCCTGCTGTCACAGTAAACAGCCTCAGTGCCATCAAACAATACAACACCTGCAAACTCTGAGATGTTTGGGTCTCCAGAGGATCCAGTGACAGAGTGCATCAACGAGTGTTTCACTGTGGAACAATATTTACAAAATAAGTAAATAAGTACATGAAATATACAAACATCATCAGAATTATGATTAATTCACTATAATATGTTTTATACAGTCTCCCAAAGAGAACGTTAATCTCAGGTTGGTAAACTCCTGTGGCCAAACAATGGACTCTCATGGCAGTGAAATAGTCACAAGCTTTTGTCTATCAAAACGTGTCCGTTAAAGCAAAAAAAAAATTTTCCACTTAAAAAACAACACACATGCGCACGCACACACATAAACAACTGTATCAGGCTGGTGGAGGCTGGTGGTATAGCCAGGACACTCACACCAGAGACCCAGTTCAAGTTCACTTCACTAACAACAAAATAGTTAAGGTTAAATATTAAAATTGTGTTTCGAGTTAAAATACAACATCGCCATGGTGACATGTTCTCCTTTTCTCTGGACACAGGTCACAAGCTACATGATGAAAAATAGTCTGCTTCCTGTTAAAATACATTACTTATGCTCACTATCCCGAAAAATAAAACGTGTCCAGCTTGGGCCAAAAGACAATCGAGAACAACAATCAGAGATATTTTTGGTCCATGATAAATATTTAAGACTTACCATTAAATAATAAAACATTTGTCATAAAATATCGATTTTCTTCATGTACTGTTTTAAGCTTTCAATAAATTGCAAAGATTTCGAGAAAGATTGCATTTAGGTCTTTTCGGTTTGTGAATAATAAATGATCGAGAATGAGCTATGCAGAAAAACAATGTCAGCAACTAAAACCAATAGTCTAATAGTCAATAGTCTGCCAAAAAATATTACAGATATGTAGCTTTTGAAATCTTCTCTAACGGGGTAAATCTGATATAAAACTTTGTGCAGTTTTATGCTCCATTATCAAAATATTTCTAATTATATATCACCTATATATCACCTCATTAAGAAAAGTAAAACTTTTAAGCATAACTGATAAAACCCGATTTTGTCTGTCTCCTGTTTATATCCTCTTTATTATTGTAGTGACGCATTTAAAAGAGAGAGAAATAGAGGGGGGCTGTTGTTGGAGTTCAAAGTCTTTCTTACCTGCAAATAAACCATGGTAGAAGAGAGGCAACAAAAGTAATATCATCTTCTCTTTATGATTAAAGCTGTCGGACCAAGAAACCATGAAAATCTGGAGGCCTTGAAAATCCGAAAGAGTACAAATATCAGATTCCTGCCCCTCCCACATGCGTTGAAGTTCTGCCTCCAAAGTAAGCGATTAATGCTGTGCCATGACTTAACCCTCTACAGCATAGCGTTGCCCTGAGGCAACAAACCACATTTTCATGCCTTACGGTGGCCCTTCAAAAAAAAACAACTTTTTTTTTTCAAATAATGCTACCAGACACATCTCTTTCCGATAAAATGATGGGTTGAAGGTGGTGTGACTTTCATTTTGGTGGGGGAGGACCCCTTTCTGCAAGCTGCATTACATGAGGTACATCTCCATTAAGAGTCAAGATAAAGATCACTATTTTACATGTTTATAGTGAAATAAATGTATATTAAAAAATACTTGCATGTGCATGAATATGTTAGGAAGCATATTTGATTGTTTGTGCTACTTTTGTAAATTTATTTATACAGTAAAACTGTTAATTTTTATTCGTTGCCTAAAGGCAACACTGCGCAGTTAGCCCAATTTTTTTCAGGCAATATAATGCATTTGGATATGTGTGTAGAGATGTGTTTGTGTGCATTTATATGATCATAGTCAATGTTTTTTACTTTACAATCTACTCATAATTACAGGACATGGATGTAAATACCTTTTATGGAAGGAAACCAAGGGAATGTGCACTTTCTGTCCTCAGAAAGTGAGGACAGTGAGCTTTCAGGGAGTGACATTGAAGTAGAGGAGTGGATCCCTGAATGAGGTTTGCGGGACACTTAGGAGCTCAGGGGTCAGTTGGTAAAGTAACTGTGTGTGTTAGTGCCCACATAGCAAGCAGGTCTGGCCAGGATCTGGTATCAAGTCGGCACTGCTGGCCGACTTCTGGCAAAACGTATGTCATCCAGATATAGGCCAGGCTTGGCATGGATGGCACTGTCTATGTGATGGCATGCCATATCTGGCTTGATTGTGGCTTGGTTTATGTGGCCCAGGCCCACAGAAAACAGGTCTGGCCCAGATCTGGCATCAAGCTGGCACTTCTGACTGACTGGTGTTTTGGCAGAGTGTATGCCAACCAGATGTGTGCCAGGTCTGGCAATGACGCCACTGTTTATGCGATGGCATGCCATATCTCAGGTGGTAGAGTAGGTTACAAACTGATAGGAAGGTTAGTGGTTCGATCCCTGGCTCCTCCAGTCTGCATGTCAAGAGTGTGAATGTGTATGAATGTAGTTAGAAAGCACTCAGTTAAGCAAAAGTGGGTGGATGTGGCACGTTGTATAGAGCAGTTTGAGTAATCTGGGAGAGTAGAAAAGCGCTATATAAAAATCAGTCCATTCACTGTCTGAACAGAGTTTCGGCATGTTACTTTTGCACTGTTTTGCATGTTCTGGCACATGTTGTTATTACATGGCTTGATTAAGGTACACATTAGGCTGACATCTGGGGCCAGAGCTGAAACCGTTCTGGGCCAGCACAGGGCCAGCAGTGTGTCTACAACTGCCCTTAATTGCACTCACCTGTCATATGTTATATAAGGACTGCATTCGCCTATAGTTCACTCTTTCTTCACTCCCACACGGGGCGGCAGCGGAAGTGAGGTTCTGTTTACATCTTGTGATTTTGTATTGTTTAAGGTAATGAGTAACTTAAATCTCTTTGTTTCTTTTCAGCGTTAGCAGTCCATGTGTGTCTTTCCTTACTGATTCTTTAAATAAAAGGAGAATCTTGTAAATGCTTGATGACTGTTTAATCTCATTCTAATCGAATGAGCCCATGATGGTAACAACTTCAAATCTCTGAACCTTCCTTCTCAACAGGGGACTAAAAACAAAAAGTCTAAACATTACACATATAGCATGACATATCTGGAAAAAATCCAAAACAAATCATCATTATTGATCATTCACCATCCATTTGTGGTTTTCCTGCCAGCTGTAGGTGGGCTTATTTTGGGCCGTTTCTGAGGGTAAGAGCAAATATATTTTTTTTAGATTGGAGGACTTATTTCATCAGAGTTGATCTGGTGGGTGATGGTTTGAATCTTGCACAGTTTCAAGTCCAGTCCATCAGATTTTCAATGTCTGATCATCCTGGAGCGTTAACAATTCAGAAAGGATGAAGTTATTTGTGTAGCTTCTCTTCTGCCCTGCTTTATTTGCAGGTAAGAAAAACCATTTAATCAAATCTGTAAACAGCAGCATATTTGTTTTGCTTTTGTAGGTAATTCATAGACTAAATATCAATGCTCATTTATTCATTTTATGAGCATATAAAACAGGATTCAGACAAATATATGTTTTACCATGTGTATGACTTTGGAATTTTATTGGTGTCACAACTCTTTTTCATTGCTATCATAAATTATACAGATGTAAAGGTTTGGTGTAAACAGTGTGAAAGGAGTCAGGTTTTTCCTATATAAAAGGTTCAAATCAGATAAATCTGTTTTGAACCTTTAAGTTTTAAGATGATTATTTTCAATATTTTTGTCGTTCAGAGAAGGGAAAACTTTTATTTTCTTTACTCACACAGGTTTATTATTTACCTATCAGTTAATCAGAGTCCAGTGGAAGCAAATATGCTGTGAAGGTGGTTTAGCTCAGCATCCAATCACATTCACATGCCCTCTGATCACAGCAGTGTGTAATATTTGATTGTGATTTATCAGTTCACAAGGAACTAAATACTAACAATTCAGTCAGATGCTTCAGTGATAAAGCGATGAGGTACTATGTAGAGCGTTTTGTATCAATACTTCAGCATGCAAAAGAAGAATGACTAAGGTATCAACTGAGTATTAATTGTAATCACAGAGTCACATACATCAACTATCAGGTGCTTTCTAATTTGTTCCTCGCATTGCAGGTGTGGCATTTTTTTTATTTCAAAATTAAGAAATTTGTGAAATCTCAAATGGGGAAACACTGTATTTAGGTTTTTTTTTTTTTTTTTTTTTTTTTTTTTGTGTTTTAATCCATACTGGGAAATTTAACATAGGTCCAAACACCCACAGTCTGAAATAAGTCTAAGTCTCAGAGCTACAGTGAAGTGACTGTATTACAGTAGACTGAAGATCGTACAGAAAATGATCATGTCTTCTATCTCTAATATCTGCATCTATGACATGGATGAGTAAAGAGGTGCAGGTTAACAACAGGAGTTGTTATACTCTTGTCTGGTAACCAGACAAGAGTATAACAACAATTGTCCCTGGGTTTCTGTTAGGAGTTTTCACTTCTCTGTTTTCTTGTGGTATGTACTGTCCTTTGATTTTCCACAGTCTGTATCCTCAATGATAAAAGAGAAAGAAAAAAGAAAATCACCAGATTCTTCCAGTAGTTGGTGACAATTTTCTTGTCATTGTTGTATTATTGTTGCATTTCCCAAATCATTAAAATAACCCCTCATAGTTCACATTAAATTCTCAGTGCATTCTTCTTCAGGGTCACTCATATGTGCAAACATTCATCTAAAACGATGTCATATTTTAATCAGACTCAATAAGATCAATGATTGCATCATACAAACTAAATAAATAATTCAATAATTAAAAAATAATCATGTTTTGCTTAAGTGAATTTCTCAATGAGCTTTATGATGATGTAGCTGTAATCACATTTAAAATTGTCTAATATTCTTCATGAAATACAAAAATGTGTCTTTAAGCATTTAATATATTTTATGTTTTTCTGTTTTGAATACAATAAAATTAGAAAATCATTGCATTCCGTTTTAATTTAGGTTTAAGACAGCATTTGTTTTAAATAGGGGTTGCATCTACTAGGCTATTATTATTTTAGATGAGTCAAAATCAAGTTAACCCTCTCAGGCTCAAATTAAGTTTTTGTTGCTAATGCACAAAATAATACCTGCAGTGGTACTTCTGAGTAAAAAAAACCCTCATAAAATATGTATGTGGGGTAATCAGGTTGTTAACTGTTAAAGGTTAACTGTTGCAAATCTGCAACGCCTGCCTTGAGAGGGTTAAAAAAATTTTTATATGCAAAGCATTAAAGTTGATAAAAAATAAATTAGTTTTGATACTTTAACATAAAGCTTTCATTTTTAATAAAGCACAAGTGTTTTGTAAGGGGAGTCGTGGGCGGCTCTTGACCCCGAGTCATAATCTTGATCGCAGTCTCTAGGACAGGATGTTATGTTTCACATGCACTTCGGCACAATGCATAAATGCTTCCTCTTTCAAGTGAATTAATCCCAGAGCTAAATTAGAACAATAGCTCACTGCTTTGGTCCTATATGTATAATCCAACTAAAGTTATGATGGGAAGGTTCTTATTGTTGCTTTTCCTCTGTCACTTTTCATCATCAGGTAAGATTCTTCATATTTTCTTTGGATACTTGCACTAGGTCTGTCTTCAGTTTCACTTTTACAACTAAATGAAAATATGTTTTAATGAGAGGAGAGAGAGATCGTGTACAGTTGTATGTTTTACATTTGCTTCCATACATCACAGACCACAAATCAACTTTTGAAAAAAGAAAAAAAAGAAGATAAATAGCGATGTCGACAGATTAATGTGCTGTCATATCCACTTTATATTATACAAGCCGTTTTCAGCAGCTAACTGGGAACTGGGACAGCCAGACTTTAAATACAGGCTTTTTACTTTTTTGTAATTAATAATAATATATCAATTAAAAAAAAATCTCTTCTCCAACAGAAATCTTGTCTTCAGAATAGGCTGTAGTTTGTGGATCATTCCTCACCGCCCGCTCAAATTGCGCTAGAGTAGTAGAGTAGAGCAATAACAGGTGTAATCCAAATCCATCATTACATATTCAGAGGGTGGACCCTCCTTTCTCTGTCATTATTATTTGTGTATATTGTAGCGTTCCTCCGACAGAAGACAGAGACAATCGGTATTCCGTTTACTGGCTGTTTATTAAGAACAGTAACACTTGTGGCCATGGCCAATGCCAAAACAACAGGGAAAACGCTCTCTCTGGAATCAAAACAAACCCCCACCCTTTCACTTCCCCAACTCACACTTCACACAGGCTGAAGAACAGTTAAAGTATGTTTTCTGTTGTCTTTGTGCTTGGTGGAAATGTGCGTGTACACGCTACCTTGCTCTGACAGCACAGACGTCCACCTTTGCTTTTTTAGAGATGCAGCTCTGCTTTTTATTCTGGTGTGTGTGTGTGTGTGTGTGTTTTAAACATATAAACACAGTAACAGGAGAGTTTGCAGAGTGAGGCTCAGGAGGTGAGTTGAAGGCTGTCCACTTAATACGTTAGAAACAGTTTGTTATTTTATTTTCCTTTTTGGCTAAAAGAAAAGCAAAAGCACTATTATTTAACTCAGGAATGAAAGGTCAAAAACTACATTTGAGTCAAGTGAGCTACTGTCAGTCTAGCTGGTGTACTATTGTGGGGTAGAGGGATAGTTAAAGGAACTGAGATAGTCTGTTTTCCCACAGGATGTAAAATAAATGGAAATATTAAAAGTTATTCTGACGCTACTGATGTTGTTGTCTAAGGTTTTCTGTGTTGTATAAGTCAAAATTGGCGGTTTCAATGAAAGTTTTAGCCGACTGGTCTCAGGCCTTGTACAGTATGAGCAGAAGCAGGTGGAGATAACAGCACATAGACATAGCACTCATTATTATAATATAATGACAGTATTAGAGCTGCAACATTATGAATACTTTCTATGTATGAACAACATTATCACACTGAAAGATCATTATTTGAAAATATGTTTTTATCAATGTTAACATTCTAAATATGACAATAATTCATCTGAGTGATGCCCCACACCTTCTTCAAATCAACAATTGATGTCAAACGTTTGTGCTGCAAAAACCTTGGTTTTTGGTGCTATCATTTTAAATATTCTGGAGGTCATCCAAGGCCAAGCAGCCCCTTTCTTTACAGTGAAAAGGCAGTGAAACATACACCAGTATTGGATTTTTTTTTTTTATCATGATCACACTCTTTAAAAGTAAAAATCTAGGTTAACTTTTAATAGTTAAAATAAACTATGCATTCTGACATTTTATTAATATCTTTAAAACAAAATCATCACAAACAAAAATTTTTGCAGCACACACTTAGCACAAACGTTTGACATCAATTTTGTTTGATTTGACGAAGGTGGGGGAGCCACCTTCACTCATATCATTACTCCACAAATAGCTAAGTTGTCTAGCTAGCCTTACAGAAATTGAATGTTTTGGGGCTATTCACATAATGTTCCCAAAAGATTCTCTTAAGGTCAAAACTTTCAAGGACCCTCCTAAAAAAACAACCTTTAGGGAATATACCCTGAAGATTGAAGGATATTGTTTGTGTGGAAATCATGCTAACCTGGTTACTTAATAAACAATCAATTCTTAATGAAATAAGTTAATATGAGGGTAAGCACAAGCCTTCAGCAGCCAGTTTGAATGGAATGATAAGACACATTTGCTCATTTTGTACTTTATGATGCCACAATGTTACATTATACTGAACATGTCATCAAATCAAATCAAATCAAATCACTTTTATTGTCACATCACATGTGCAGGCACACTGGCACAGCACATGTGAGTGAAATTCTTGTGTGCGAGCCCCAAAAGCAACAGAGATGTGCAAAACACAACAACACAAATGAGCAAAATACAAGAATGGCCAACCTGAAACTAATAAATATATGTACAATATATAATAGTGTATGCATTTCTGGATGTGTATACTAAATGTTTTTCTACGTGTGTGTGTGTGTGTGTGTCATCTATGTGTATATTTCCCAAACTATCCGAAGGTCTTAAACAGCTGACAGGTGGGTAAAATGTTGACTTGTGGTTTGTACGAGTCCAGTCAGAGCACTGTTGTTTTCCCACCCATCCATTTTCTTCTCTTTATCCAGTTTAGGGTAGCATTTGAACTGGAGCCTATCCCAGGTGCCCATTTAAACTTTACTAGATATTTGGATGGATGGATGGATGGATAATTTGTACAGATACACATGTACATTTCCATGAACTGGATGTAATTTTTTTTTTAGCAAGGTCTTTGAACTTGTCATGCTGTAAGAAATGCTTGTCAGCAGTTTTGGCTTCTTCCTGTGGATGCAACATCTGGACTATAGAGAGTGGAAGATGGAAATTGGACATTTGTTTAAAGACTAAACACTAAGCTATTTACGCTTATACATAAAAATCCTGTCTTATTGGTTGCATGGTGAACAATTAGAAGAACTGCTTTGTTGCCCTTAATCCCACCATTATAAACCCAGGGAGAGTTACTTTAGGCTCCACGAACAATACAGTAACTGAGTAATTTGAGATGTATCTGAGAAAGCAGTTTTTTCTCAGTGTTTCTGTTGAGAATGTTTATTTCTCATTAGTTCTAATTGACAAATGCATTCAGGTTTCATTGAAGATGTACACCAAACAGCATTAGCATATTATCTGTGATCTCAGTTAAACCTTTATTTTGGAAAGGATTTTTTAGAAGTTACTTAAAGAGTTAATGACAAAATATATAAATCTTTAAATATAATGCTGAGTAGTTAAAGAAAGTTGTCTATATAACAGCAATGCCATCTAATTCAGAGTCTCATCATTGTTACAGTGAAACACTCCTTGCAGTATTTCTTCACTCAAACAACTGGAGTCCAGAGCATCCCTGAGTTTGTGGCTGTTGCCCTTTTTGATGGAGTTCAGGGAGGTTACTATGATAGCAGCACAAGAAGAGCAGAACCCAAAACAGAATGGATTAAAAAGCTCATGCAGGATGATCCTCAGCACCTGCAGTGGTACGCTGATCAATCTTTGCACACCAATGAGGTTTTCAAACATTACATTGGGAGTTTAAGGCAACGTTTCAACCAAACTGGAGGTATGGTTTTGTCTAAACTGTTACTGCTGAAAATATTTGTACTCATCCTGATTTGGTTTAAAATAGAAAACTAAAAGTTTTTTTTAATTAGGTTAGATATAGAATGTAAAGTATGATGATGAGATCTGCTACTTTACTCAGAAAAATGAAAAAAAAAAAAAAGAACAGTGAAAGAAGCAGAGAAAAAATGTGAACCTTCCACAGTGACCACAAGATAATAGACTGATTTTTGGGCCAGTAACTCACACCAAGAGTACTGTCCCTCTGTTTTTGTGTCTGTAATGCTGACATCTTGCTGGTTTCATGCAATATTTTCTGGCTGGCTTTTTACAGGTGTTCATATTTTGCAGAGTATGAATGGCTGTGAATGGGATGATGAGACTGGAGAGGTTAATGGCTTCATTCAGTACGGTTATGATGGAGAAGATTTTATAGCATTGGACCTGCAGAAACTGACATGGATCACTGCAAAACCACAGGCTGTCATCACCAAACTGAGATGGGATACTGAAAAAACTCGATTAGAACACAATAAAGAACTTTTCATCCATAAATGCCCTGAGCTTTTAAAGAAGTATTTGCAGTATGGGAGGATCTTTTTGCAGACAGCAGGTAGAATTACAGAATCTGATGTAGAAAAAAATAGAAAATTTATATTGCAATTTAAAGACAACGTAGCAACTTCCTATCTCTTTTCAGTCCTACCTTCAGTGTTTCTCCTCCAGAAGTCGTCCTCCTCTCCAGTCAGCTGCCATGCTACAGGTTTCTATCCTCACAGCGCCGTGATGTTCTGGAGGAAAGATGGAGAGGAGATTCATGAAGGTGTGCATCACACAGAGAGCCTCCCCAACAATGATGGGACCTTCCAGATGAGTGTTGATTTGAAACTTTCAGTCACACCTGAAGACTGGCAGAGGTACGACTGCGTGTTTCAGCTCTCTGGTGTGAACGAGGACATCATCACCAAACTGGACAAAGCAGTGATCAAGACAAACTGGGGTAAGACTGGATCCTGCGACGGTTATGAATCATTTTTACAGAGTAGTTAGGTGAGTACTCACATGTGAGTTGGTGCACCAACCCTCTGCATGTACTCTTTTACTACATCCACAGATCCTCTCTGTGGTCTTTCTCTTTTCCTCTTGACTGCCTGGTCCATCTTTAACAACTTTAACAAGCTATGTTTTTCACAAATAGAATTACATATACTATCATGTATTATCATGTTTTTATAATGGTGTAAAGGTTTTACATTAAATTATTACATTTCTTGAGGCGATGTTGGATAAGCTGACCTTTGCCACATTTATATTCACCAATCCAATCAAACAATACTTTTAGCAGTTGATAAAGAACTAATTAATAACAAATCAGTAAGATGCTTCACTGAAAAGGGAACATAAATAGCAGAGAACGGAAGTAAGTAAAACGTAATGAAATACTATATGTAGTGTTTTTTATCTTCAGTGTGCACAAGACGAATGTCTAATGATGGTGTATTAACTGAGTATTAATGGTTTTGTGTCGCCTCTTGTTTCAATCAGAGATGTCAGCTGCATTAACTATCAGGTCCTTACTGAGTCTTTCCTCACTTGTTCTTTAGTTCATTTGTGCTCTGTGTTATAAAGTGTTTCCACATTTTGTTCAACAGAGAAGCCCGTTGACATCAGAGCCACAGTGGTTGTTCTAGCAATTGTCCTCATTGCAGCTGTTGCAGTTGGGGCAGCTGTGGTGTTTGTCGCTTACAAAAGAAAGAAAGGTGAGAGATCTGTAGGGGAAATGTTGATTTTAATTTTTGAATTTGTGTTTTAATCAATACTGACAAATTTCACATTAAACTGAAACACTCACAGTCTGAAATAAGTCTCAGAGCCAAAGTGAAATTATTATATTATAGTAAACTGATGATGTGAGAAGCATCAGTGTAATAGATAATTACAGAGCTGCTGATCTTCATAGCTGTGCAGAACACCATTTCTCTACCTGTGAACTACATTTGAGGAAAAGAGTTTGCTCATGTGGAACAGCGTAGAACATACTCCTGCAGGCATTTAGAACATAAAGCACACTTATAATCTCATCACTACTCTCTAAAAACATTAAGCATCACAGGAACTCTTGTTTTTATTATGTTGTGTTATTGTATTTTATGCTGTTGTATTCATGGCTTCTTGATAATGGGACTTCCCTATTCATATTTCTGCTTGCCTGACTCTTTGTTGCACGTTTATCTAGAGAGTTGGAGCGTGTTTTCTAACAGAAATCAACATTCACTGTACATTATAGAAAATTTTAGTTTTATCTTTTTGTTCTTACAGCTCCTGACAATGTCTCTGAACAGTCTGAGAGACTAAATCCACAAACATGACCATCATTCAAGCTGTTCTGTGCTCCACTCTCTGTATGAGTTTAGTCTGGCTGTTTCAGTTCTTCCACAGTTTGAGGTTTTACATGTTATATGCAGTAATGATTAAAATTCCCAGCAGGTAACATAATAACATCTTATAGAAGCTTTTTGTTGTTTATTTGTTGTTTATTTTAATGGCATAGACTGCAAAAATATACCTCAAATGAAGCTCAAAGATTGATATAGAATCACTTCAAAAACATAATTTATCTTGGTTCATTTACATTTAGGATTGTAACCTCTTCTGAAATGTTTATGTATTGCTCCCCTTTATTAAATCTTTTGCATAATAAGTAATTCACTACCCAAATAATCTTTTCATCTAATAAATGAATAATTAAACACTTAGAAACACTTCCTATTCAGTTTTCATGACATTATTCTTCTTTCTCTATGTCTTTCACACATAAACCAGAAGAACTCTTTGACAGCTGGGCACCATGTGCTGAAACACGTGTACTACGACCTGATTACGATGTTATGTGATTACATATGGAAAGAAGTATTTCTCAAGAGTGTTACAAATGTGTATGTGTAGTCCTTTAACTTTTTACTTTTACCTAAAACAAACAAACCAATCAAAAAACAATATTTTCAATATTATTAACAATATAAAAAATTGCTATAATTCCTTTATCATAATAACACTTAGCTTAACTGCATTTCATTCCTTTAACACTCTGTATTATCTGTTATTTACTCTCCAAAACTATATTTCCTTTTTTGTGCTGTAAAAATGCTTCTATGCTATAAGGCTCTTTTTATTAATAAAGTTTAATTGAAAAACAAAGTTCACTCTGAGCTGCTCTGTGTGTGTTTCTTTCAAAGAGAGAGAGACTCACAGAGAGGGAAGTAATGACATCAAAATTGAATTTAACTGAAAGAGTTTTGAAATGGTAACTTTTAGGATAACCTTAATATACCTTTTTTTTTAAGTATACCTGTAAAGTTCAGTTCTGGGTTTCAGTTCTAATCATCATGTCAGAAAAGATCAACTTCAAATCATTTAACGGTCACCAGCTGACCCCACCATTAAAAAAATAAGTCTGTTAAAATGAAAATAAAAGTAACAGTCACAGTTGAAGGGTTATCTTTTACACCACAGTTACTGTTGATCCAAGGGCGTAGATTTGGTTTTGGCATTGGTGGGGATGGATGATTCAACCACTGAACCCTGCCCCGTTCCTTTTTATTTTTCCTTTTTGTCTTTGCTTCTTGATAAAAAAAAAAGAGAGAGAGAAATATACTTGCCTACATATGCTATTCTACATGCTTTTAAACCATTTAAAATTACAATTCATAGTTTTATATGTGAATTATATAATGTTAAATTACTATTAAACAAATGACTGACTAAGTATTTTAGACTTTAGTTTACTTCAGCCATATTCCACATAAATCAGGTATCATACAAAAATAAAAATAGCCTCAAATACAGTCATGACAATAAAAGAATATGACTTTAAGGACATAACAACATTAGTTCAGTTATACTACACCAACATCTCTTATACATTAGTACTAAGGGAACACTGAATGACCTGCTGGTTTTTGTCCATAAAACTACTCATCTAAGATTACCACAAAAGATCTCTCAGCAAAATTATGCAACATTTTAGGCACTATTGCCCCTATCAACTCAGTGAGCTGGGATGTTTTATTCTAAACATGAACTACTGTTACAGAAACAGACATGAACTACTGGTGCCCCACACAACACCTCAATGTCCACTATGTGAAGGAGCCAAACACATGCCTTTTCCTCTCGTTAACTGAGATAAACTGCTGGCATATTGGTTTTACATCTATACTGTCCAGTCTCTCCTGGTGGACATGGCATACAGCAGCATTGTTTAATCTCATTTCAGTCATTGTTGACCTTAGCTATCTTTTTAGTCTTCTGAGAGCACTGAAACTTCTTTCAGCCTCAGTACATGCGTTTTATCCTCAGATTAAAATTATTATTCTGTGCTTGATGTGCCTCACCTTTGGCCCTGGCTCTTCCCCTCTGACTGCACTAGGACATATTGCTATCTGATAAAATAACACATTGATTCGTGCCATATAAAAAGTGAGACATGTCAATTCAGATTCTTTGTCAAATATACACTAATGAAACAATTTACATCAGCAGCCTAACAATTGTCATTATAATAAATACTCGTTAATCTATAGCACCAAATCATC